CGGAACCGGGGATTGAACTCAGCCCTTGCGCTTGCCAGGGAAGCGCTTATTCCACTGAGCCATCTCCCCGGCCCCAGTACAGCAATCCTGTACAGTCTCTTTTCCAATTTCCATTTAGGACCAAAAAAAATAAAAAATAAAAAAAAATAGGGAGGGGGGTTCCAATGATTAGAACTTCACATACTTTTTTTCACCAAAATTGTAAGAATCAAGACTCCCTTCTCTACACACACACACACACACACACACACACACACATTTGGAGAGTAGACTGAAGGATTCCCAGGGCTCAGTATAACTGTACTCAAGGCTGACATTTATTACAGCAATGCTGTATGAATACACGCTCCATCATAATGCAAAAACAGGTGAATCCCGGAGGGTTGTGTACCGTGCGGGGCTCCTTACGCTCCCTCCTTCACAAGAGACATCAAACAGCACACTTCGCGCCAGCATGGAATGTGCAGCAACATGTAGCCAGTGCTTCTGCACAGGGAAGGAGATGAGAAACCTGGTGCACGGGACTTTTACAAAGCTGGTAATTTCCGCATGAAGCATAGTATTCAACACCAACTAACAGTCCTCAGCTCAGAACACTCCCCAAACCCAAGATCCCAGATGCCTAAGGAAGGCCAACCTTTCAAGTTGACCTTTCCAAGTAGCATAGCAGTCTTAAGCCTGCTTTAACTCTTCAGCACCAATATTTATGTTCTGGTCAATTTTCTCGTGGTTTTCCACACATAAAACTACAGTTTTGACTCATTAGCAGCACCTAACACTTTTTCCCCCTTCAATATTAGGATGGACAAATAATTTCTTTGAAAAGTTTGTTTTTAAACAGACTATATAAATAAAAACCCGAAAACTATTTTCTTCCTACTCTTTTTTTCCAGGGAAAAGGGAAAAGGAGAGCGATCCAGCCTTTACAGATGATCAGGTTCAAAACGGTTTTGCTATGCATGGTGTTCCAATTCCACTCACTTTCGAGACATCAAGCTGCCCGAGCCTCACAACTACTCTCGGGGGAGACTGCTGTTTTCCCCTCCCCTTCCCACTTGAACCCGGGACCGGCTAAGCGCTAGCCGGCGTCCCGCGGCGGCGAGCGGGCTTGGGGCCAAGGACCCCGCGCTGCAGCCGCAGAGCCCAACGCACGCCGCGGCCACGACCGGGCTCAGCGCGCGGTCCCGGCCCAGCGCCATGCCCACGTCCGGCCGAGAAGGGCTGGAGCAGGGACCGAGAAGGCGCCGAGGAAGGCCGTGGGGAGGCCCGGGCGCCCGGTGCGCACGCCGCTGTCCGCACGGACCTGGACCCGAGCGTCTCTGCCGCCGGCCGGCTCCTCCTAGCGCCTCCAGAAGCGAACGGCCACGCTGTGCTCGGCGCCGGCAGGGTGCAGCAGGGCGCGCAAGGCGCCGCGCCGCTCGCAGCCTCTCAGGCCCGCCCACCCACACGGGTCCCGGATCCCGAGGCTGAGACCCCGGCGGCCGCTACCCCACCGCGAGGTCTCTGACTCACCCCGCCCGACCGGGCCGACTCGTCTACAACCAGGAGCGACTGCGCCTGCGCCGCCGGCTAGCGGGGCGGCGGGGCGGGGCCTCTGCCACAGCCCCGCCCACGAAGCTGAGCGGGCTTGGGGAGCTCCTGGGGCAAGGGTATGGGCGGGGCGAGGGGCGTGGTCATGAGGCGGGGAAAGAGGGGCCAAGGGACGGTCCGAGTTCTCGAAGTTCCTGCTCAATTTTTCTCTGTCAGACTGGATTTTTGATCTCAAATGAGGAGCGCTACTCACTTCTGCAGAGGTCTGACTTGTTCCTGGGTGTCTTCCGGAACACCTTCCAACTTCCCTTACGTCATCCTACTTTGAACTTAAAGTCACATCTGACATTTATCATATGTTAATTTCCTGTTTTTAAAGCATTGAAAATTTAAACCCAGGTCTTCGCACTGCGCTATGTCCCAGCCCTTTTTTGTTTTTTTAGTTTTTATTTTTATTATTTTGGTATTTCATTAGTAAAGTCGCTAAATTGTCCGAGCTGTGTTCTATCTTTTGATCCTCCTGCTTCAGCCTCCCAGAGTGCCAGGATTCTAGGCATGCGCCACCAGGCCAGGCTGGCTTTGCTTGCTTGCTTGCTTGCTTGCTTGCTTGCTTGCTTGCTTGCTTCCTTCCTTCCTTCCTTCCTTCCTTCCTCCCTTCCTTCCTTCCTTCCTTCCTTCCTTCCTTCCTTTCTTCCTTTCTTTCTTTCTTTTTTCTTTTCTTTCTTTCTTGCTGTTCTAGAAACTGTTCATGCTTCTGTACTTCAAAGCTTGATTACCTATTAAAGTGGTCTGCCCTTGGCGTGTTTACTAAAAGTAATTGGCTTGTTTGAATATAGATATTGCAAACATCACTGGTTATGATTGGCTCTAGAAGTTTCCTTTCACAACAAAGGACAGAGTGTGGCTTAATGGATAGAGTAATAGGTTAGAAATTAAGAGAAAACAGTTAAGCTCCCAAACTATTTTTAGCTTAAAATTCTAATTCGTTCCCATCATTAATGTGGGAACTTGACAAATGAGGATGCTATCTGTTTATGTTGTATTTAGGGGCTCCATTCATCTGACAAGTACAATTGAGTACAAATGTGATTGTTGCTATGCTAGAGTATACATAATTATCTTTTGGGATAGAGAGCTTTTTCCCCCCCAAGGGGAAAAGCTGCACGCATAATAAGTTTTGCCATAATCGTGAAGTCAACATAGTCTACTTTACAAATCAAAAGTTTTCATATATTTTAATATTGGATTTGACATACACTGTGTGTGGGGGGGGAGACATGCAAAATTGAAAAATCCCGAACACTTTGCATCCTAGATTTTTTTTGCAGTAAGAGGGAGTTTTTAAAAGTGTACATTGTGCTAGAACTCAATTTGTAATTTTTAAAAAAGGAACTGAATTAGGGAAATTTAAGTTCTATTCCTATTAAAAAGGAATTGAAGAAATATACATACAACTGTACTAGCCCTCATTCTGAGCAGGTTAACTGAGTTTAAAAATGGGCCAGTCTTCAAGAATATAAAATTAAGATAGCATACCAGGAGACTGGGATGGGACATCATTTCAGCCATCAAAGACAGTACTGTCAGCAGAAACATCAAGAAGCCAGAGGGAGCAAGGAGTCATTACAATTGAGCCCACTGAGGAGCCAGGGCAGTGATCTGCCTCCTCCAACACTCAGGAACTTTCCCAGATGATGAGGGCCAAATCCTGGGGGGAGGGGGCAAATGAATGCACAGAATAGTCATTAGTGTGACCTAGAATTACCTTTACTTTATTGCTGGAGTAAAATGTCACACCCCAAGCTGGAGATTTACAATGGTAGTGAGATGTGTTGCAAGAAAAGGTATAATGAAGATGAGCAGATACAACAATGTGCATGTGATGGCATCAAGAGGCCAACTGAATGTGTCCCTCCATACCCTGCAAGTACCACGGAAGCTGTGTGATAGATTCCACCCAAGTACATACTGCTAAATTATCATGGCCCGGACTCCACACAGCTCAATCCCCGCAACAACAGCACATCCTCCCAATGACCACCTCCTCCTCCTCCCCCACCCCCTCCAGCCCTGGATGCAATTTCCTGTTGCCTTTCTGCACACACAAGGGAGCCTCCCGTCAGCCCCTTGTGTGTCACTGAAGCTGCCCTTGAAACTCTGCCCTGACAAAAGTCCATGAAGTGTCACCCTCCCTGTCTCAGGTCACGGGATCTCCCCATCTCCAAGCTCTGGGTCCTCTCTGTGTCTTCAGAGTTCATAAAGGCTCCCTTCCCCCTTATTTCTGCTTCTCTGCTGTGCTGCCACTGCCCACCACAGCTGCCAATAGAACCTAACACTGTGTACTTTGCTTGGGTCAGATTGCAGTTTCTGTCCCACAGGGCTCCTTCCCCTTGTACTCAAACATAAGAATTAAAAGGCCTCCCTCCCGTGCCAAGCTGTGCCTGTCTGATTCTTCTGATAGCACAGAACTCATGAGGTCAGTAACAATCATACAGTACTAAAATTTTTCTTGGAAATGACAACATTCCAAAGCTATCTTGATTTCTAGCAGAGTATCTTTAACATGATCAAAACCTCCAGAGATCACAACCTCCCTTTCAACATGTGGCATGAGTTGCTGCAAATTATCTAACAGGAAGTTCTTTTTTTCTCTTTTGTTTTTGAGCAGGGTCTTTCTATGTAGCCCAGGCTGGCCTCAAATCAAGGAGATCATCCTGCTTCAGCTTCCTAAGTGCTGGGATTATAGGCATTGTGTCAACACATCCAGCCTAATATTAAGTTCTCATTTCTTTCTTTCTTTCTTTTTTTTTTCTTTTT